CGGGCCTGGACATGTACTGGCTTAAGTAGGGGGACACATCCGGCACTGCAGGATCTGAGTCCCTGGCCGGCGTAGTGTGTTACTGATGGTAGCCTTTGTTACGTTGGTCCCAGCTCTCTGCAGGTCATTCACTAGGTCCCCCCGTGTGATCCTGGGATTTTTGCTCACCGTTCTTGTGATCATTTTGACCCCACGGGGTGAGATCTTGCGTGGATCGAGGGAGATTATCAGTGGTCTTGTATGTCTTCCATTTTCTAATTGTTGCTCCCACAGTTGATTTGTTCACACCAAGCTGCTTGCCTATTGCAGATTCAGTCTTCCCAGCCTGGTGCAGGTCTACAATTTTGTTTTGTTTTTTCAGCCTAATGATGGCTTGCTTCACTGATAGTGACAGCTCTTTGGATCTCATCTTGAGAGTTGACAGCAACACATTCCAAATGCAAATAGCACACTTGAAATTAACTCTGGACTGTTTATCTGCTCATTGTAATTGGGATAATGAGGGAATAACACACACCTGGCCATGGAACAGCTGAGAAGCCAATTGTCCCATTACTTTTGGTCCCTTAACAAGTGGGAGGCACATATGCAAACTGTTGTAATTCCTACACCGTTCACCAGATTTGGATGTAAATACCCTCAAATTAAATCTGACAGTCTGCAGTTAAAGCACATCTTGCTCATTTCATTTCAAATCCATTGTGGTGGTGTATAGAGCCAAAAATGTTAGAATTGTGTCCATGCCCCAATATTTATGGACCTGACTGTATGTATGTCAATGTCCGTATTGCTCCACGATGATTTTACTGTTCCTTCTCAAGATGCAAGTCAGCTGCTGCATAGTTATCTTAACAGCTGTTAAATAGGGACACAGAAATTCACACAGATCTCATTGCAGTGGTTAAACAACAAATCTCCAAATTTAGTGCATTAACAAAAAAAAACAAAAGTAAATGCAAAAAGAACAAGCATGTCAAAATGTAAACATCTTATTCAAATGTATTTATCATGGGTTTCGCATTTATATCAGAGTCAAGAAGAAATCTGCAATTAAGGTTGCTAAAATTCCTAAAATATACATAGTGTATGTAGTAGGCTTGGGTTATGATAAATCCTAGACGCAAGATCTCAATGGCTTGAATGTAACTGATGCATTTTTTTAGATAGTAAACATTACCACTGTCAGAGGTTTTATCATTAACTCATTATTCATGACTCTGATTCATGGTCCTTGAAAAACATGCACATTACAACAATGTGACAGCCTTACAGAATAAAATTCGATCCCTGTTTAATATTCTTGCCTAATCTGTTATTAACATGTCTCAAAACTACCAAAAAGGTACTCTTTGTTAGAATTCAATATTTTACAAACATGCAGACTAACATTAGACCATAGTCACATGTGCCGTTTACATCGTGCTGTGCTTTTTTCCATTGCTGTCCCATCTTGCTAATGATGTGCAGTTATACCAATACCTCCGTGCATGCTGCTAACTAGAAACTGTTGGTGGAAAAAGGAAAACTACAGGAAGCCCAGACAGTCTTTTGAACAATAGCCTATTGCTAGCTTTTTTATTTTCTCTTCATGGAATAAAAAACTGTGAATATTATACGCTGCAGAAAATGTGCTGCTGAACATGTGACTGAATAATTCAAACGTACTGAAAATCTTTTGTACTGAAAAAGGAAAACAAATCTTGATTTCTATCATTACTGTAAGTAGCTTATAATGATAGAATTAAAAACTGAACATGGTTCATATTGTTTAAAGTGGTTGGAAACCTCAGACATGAAATATGAAACAAGCATATCCCTCTATAGTGTGTGCTTGTCTCAATCCAGAGAACTAAGTATCGTTTCTGTCTGCTGCCCCGTTCCTCTGCTAGAAACATGAGTCACTTCTGATGAGTTTTCCTGACACCAAGAGAAAGATGGTGACAGGAGTGGGACGAGCCTGTGACTGACATTCTCAGCTCTGTTCCTGTGGGAAGGGAGGTGTGTCCCTTCCTCCCACTCCACTCTCAGCGCTCTCCTCAATGATTTAACTTCAGCTCCCCGCCCTCTGCTTCTCAGAGCTGAGAGATCCTGTGTAAATCCTGCACTATGAATGGATGTACAGGACAAAAGGCTAAAGATAAACAGATACAACTTTATGTAGGAGGATTTGTTTCATCTGTGTGTATCACCTGTGGCCAGTCACTTCACTGAGTATATGTGAGGGTTTACAACCACTTTAAGATCGCTTGATCAGTATAGCAAGTAGACCATAAACATTTCTCATTAGAAGACCCACTAAAGTAAAAATATTGTACCTGGATGTGGGTAATAAATGTAATGATAGTATTCTGTATGTGAATTCCTTTATATTTCACATTTTCTTAATATTTTTATCCACTTTTACATACAGACCAAGCTGTCCAATAAAAGTGTCAATGACAGTATACTGGACAGACTATAAATAAATAAAATTGATGTAGCGCTAAATAAATACTAACATGTGTATCATAATAATAAATGAATACCACTCATTAAACCGTGTATACAAAAATAAATTATAAATATATAAGTGGTATAAAAAGTGCAAACACTACAATACATAAATAATGCATGATTCCCTCAACTTAGGGGATCAATAAAATGTGAACATAAAAAACACAGTGCAAGTGTACAAACCACACTCAGTGAAAATAAATGTCCACTCCAAGTCCACACGCTGCACTTATAATATTGAATGGTGCTCCACAAAAATAAATCACATGTAAACTCAGCCCAACGTGAAGTGAATCCAGTGCCAAATCCAAAAATAACCAAAATGCCCCCTCACCTCCTTACAGTGACCACAAGGGCCAGCTCGCTTTTTAAGGGTAAGCCACACTTTCACAGGGATATCCTCGTCACCACCAGATGGACCCTCCTGGATATTCCCACAGATCAGTAATCCTCTTTAGTTCTCCAATCCCCTGGTACTTAACTGGTCGTTCTCTCACAGAGGATCATATCAAAAACAAACAGAGATCCTCCATAGTGTAAATCAGTATTTACTCCAATATCAAAAAAATTACCCACTCACATGTAGAACAGCATAATCCAGCTTTTACCCATACTATGGGTGTATGTGCATGGTTCTGGGTGATCCAAAATGGCCCCCACGCCGGAACTGACGTCACTGCGCACCGGACGTCCTGTCACTGTGTACCGACGCGTTGCGTCAAGATAACCACGTGACTTCTTCAGGGTAACGCCCATAGTGACAGAAATGGCACCATTCAATATTATAAGTGCAGCGTGTGGACTTTGAGTGGACATTTATTTTCACTGAGTGTGGTTTGTACACTTGCACTGTGTTTTTTATGTTCACATTTTATTGATCCCCTAAGTTGAGGGAATCATCCATTATTTATGTATTGTAGACAGTGTTTGCACTTTTTATAACACTTATATATTTATAATTTATTTTTGTATACACGGTTTAATGAGTGGTATTCATTTATTATTATGATACACATGTTAGTATTTATTTAGCGCTACACCAATTTTATCTATTTATTTTTTGCACTTTGTGGTTGAAGTAAGGTGTTTAGCTGCTTAGAGTAGGGTTTATCCATTTAAGTGCAGGGGATTGTTCTTTACATATACTGGACAGACTATAGTGTTATTGGTTGTGCTGGAACAGTTGAAGCAGCGTTTTACAGAGAAAAATGAATGTGAAAAAAATACCAAATCAAAATATACTGTATATACACACTATACAGTCATGGCCACAAACATTGTCACCCTGCATTTCTGTCAGATAATGCACCACTTTGCCCAGAAAATTGCTGCAATTACAACTGTTTAGGCATTCTCATGTTTATTTCTTTTGTTGACTTGAATTGACTAACAAATTAAAGCCAAACCCCACTTTTTAAACAGTTATTGCAACACATTTTTTTCCTTTGGGGATAAAGGCTTTACATACCAAATGAATAAAGGCTGACCATTGTAAGCACCCGTTAGTAGTAAATGGTTTGTGTCAACAGCTGCCACTGTGGCAGACGGCTTGAGGCTTTCAATTAAATGTGAAGGCGCTAATGAGCACCCTCATAGTTTCAGTCTCCATGTGTCTCCTCAATCTCCGAGTTTTAGTGAAGTTTAAATAGTTTGTCTGGGCCAAGCTGGTCCAAACAAACTATTTACTTCACTAACAGATGCAGTGGCTGTGTACTCTGTAATACTGTATATAGCCTAAGCTACATACAGTATTCAGAGCTATACCCACTCATAGAACAAAATCGTGTTGGGATGAGAGCTGCTCAGTAATTCACAGGGAGTTTTGTAATTTATGAATTACCGTAATATAAAATTTCCTGTGATTGGCTGAGCTGGAGATTGTGACATCATCCACTCACCTCTCCACCCCAGCCAATCAGAGGAAGCTTTTTATTCTTTCACAGAATGACTGAGCAGCGCTTAGCCCAACTCGATTTTGTTCAGGGAATGGGACAGAAAGTTCCCACCCTGCTGCCAAAATACAGTGCTGTATACTGGATCAGCTTGGTTCAAATGAACTATTTAAACTTTATTAATCAGGGAAATCATCCTTAAGCACTCTCTAAACTTACTATATGCGCATGAGCTTTACCTTTCAGTGATGTTTGCAAAGGAAAGCTACAGGCACTATAAAGCGCAAATCTAGTAACAATAAACAAAGCCAAAAAGGCTATAAAGTGTAATAATTAACTGTAAATATATTGAAACTATTACGAGTTATTTGCAAAATTAAATATATCTGATCTTTAACTTTTAAAATATATTCTTTTTAGAGCTTCTCTTTTATCCACAATATGTAGCCATGTTTTCAGCTAAAGCCTTAAGCAAAGCAGTTTATCAGTACTTTTTCTGCATTGTATGATAATACATTTTGCACAGAGAGTTAAAATCCCTTAAACTGCCATTTATTGAACAAATATTTTTCATAAGGATTCAATGTCAAAAATATGAAACAAATGATGTCATACCTAACTGCATCTGTGTCAAACTGCAAATTGGGTTTATCGATCAGCCCTAAAGAGTACAGTTGATACGCCAAAGCACACTTTCCCACCATGAACTGAGCAGTATTAGTTCGGTCTAAGCAATCAACACAGTTTGTTCGTAGAACACCAGTCTAAGTAAGGGAGAAAAACAAATGTTATTTATAAGGTGTAAAATAAAAACGTTAAACTCCAGCTAACAAGCTAAAGGCACAGTTGAAATGCATTGTGAGCTCTAAGTCTGCCTTCCTCCGGTCTGCTGATGGATTCAATCATTGTCCTACTGTAAGATTAAATAAACAGGGGAAGGCAAAGAAGGCACTTCTAAGTGCAATCATTTTCAGTAGTTTGTTCAAAAAAAACAGTTAAAACACTTAGAGAATGTGTGCAAGAAAAAACTCATCATTAATCATTTCTGTGCAGGGCTCCTGCCACTGTCTCTTTCTCTCACTGTGCCAACCAACATCTGCAGGGGGAACTTGGAGTGCAATACCAAGATGGCCACTGCTCCTTTTTAAAAAAAAAAAACAAACATGTCAAACTTACCTGCTATGTGCAATGGTTTTGCACATAGCAGCACTGATCCTTTTCTACTCAGGTCCCCCGTTGGTGCTCCTGGCTCACCCCCACTGCTGAGTGCCCCCAGAGCAAGCTGTTTGCTCTAGAGGCATTGTGTGTGCTCGCTCCCGAGCCATCTCTGTGTGTTCCTAAGACACACAGAATGAGGCTCAGCTCTACCACGCCCTGCCATCTTCTCACTGGCTGTGGTTGACAGAGGGGGGAGCCAATGGCTCCTGCTGCTGTGTCTCTCATGCACATTGCTGGATCCAGAGTGGGCTCAGATAAGTATAAGAGGGGCTGAGGGGGGAGCTGCACACTGAAGGTTTTTACCTTCATGGATACAATGCATGAAGGTAAAAAAAAACTTCAGCCTTTACAACCACTTTGATATTCACAACAAGATGAATAGATAAAAAAGTTCTATTTTTGTACAGAGTTCTGCTGTAAACTACTTACTTTATTTCTGTTAATACATTTGTCTTTTCTTAGAGGGACCAACATCCCTATGGTAACATTTAATATCTGCTAACTTAACTAAATTAATTCCTTAAAGTGTTACTAAACCCACAACAGGAAACCAGTCTGTATATGCAGTAAAGCATGCTTTTTATATTCACTGTGAAAACTAAGGGGCTAATCCTCCATTCTGTGTAAAAAGGAAGTTTGATCCTGTCTTCTCTGATCTTCCCCTTCTTCTACTGCCCCCAATCCATCTTTTGATAGCACAGAGCCTTGGGGGCAAGCTGCACATGCTCAGTTTTGTGTGTATTGCTAGAATTTTTTTTTTCTTGGGAGAGTGCATGTGATCAGCACAGGGCCAGTCAGCACTGTCCAGACATAGGGTCAGAGGTCATTCAGCCTCACAGGACAATCAGGGGAAAATGAAAACTCCTACAAGCTTTAACCTGGACAAGCTTTAACCAGTGCTCTGCTGGACACTAATAGAAGTCATTTACTAAAATAACTGCATTTCCATGTTCTGTGTACTGTGGGAGACCAGATATAGTGAATGCAGGATGCAGGGTCCTGGGCTTAGTAACACTTTAAGTGCATGAACTGTTGTGAATAAATAATACATATGTACAGCGCTATATAAGCACCTGTAAATATTTTCTTTAGAATTTTTAATTTTCCACTGCCTACCTTCTTCAGGCATTTAAGACTGTGGAAAGCAGTTTTCTATGCTTTTTAGCCCCAGGATACACAAATATAAATCAAGACAAGTAAGATCATAAGCTGTTGAGCAGTACAGTCTTTACCTTTTTTCAGGACAAGTGGTACATAATAAATAAGTCACATACTGTGCAATATAAGAACCCCACTATAGACTGTGATCTGCATTTTTTATGTCATAAGTTGTCTCCTGTGGCTGTTATGCCAGTGAGTGGTAAGATTGGGGCTTGGTAGATGTAAAGCTGCCATATTTAAATTATAGCTGCAATCGCATTAAAGCCTTAGGTGTACACGTGTGTCCACATGTAAAGCTCAGCAAAATATGTAAAATCACAGGTAAAACCGGGACAGCTAATTGTAAATCACTATGCTTAGATAAAGTTAGATTACTAAATTACACTGTAGGAGTTAAATTATTCCTCATTAACTTCAAAAGGTTTGTTGATTACATGTGGCCCATACTACATTTTTCATAAATAGCACCCCTTCAGCTGGAAACGAGCGTAAGCAAACAATAACACATGTTACTAGCATTTTTATAAGTGTTTGGATGGAGTCAATATAAAACTGTCCAAGCTGTGAACTATTAATATGGGGTATCCTTGGAAATAACAAAAACACAACATAATGCTATAAATTAAAACCTATTATCCCAGAGCAATAATGAAAAAAGCATATAAGATATGCTTTTAAACATATGCAAAACTCTAAACTCCAGGCTGTGATTGTTATAAAATATAATATTATATTGTAAAATATAATATTGTAGGATATTAAATAGTAATATTGCTATTACTGCTGTGGTTCCAAATTTTTTACTTTTTTGCTCTGTAGGAAATTTTATTAGCTTCTCAGTGTAGAGTAAAATCACATACATAACACACATATAGAATGCTCAAATCTTCAGCTATTACCTGTAAACGGCCAGATGGACCAACCACACCTCCAAGCTCATGCCACCTAGGAGAAAAAACATCAATAATAGTGAAAAAAAAAAAAAAAGTATTAATAGTACTTTACGTAATTAGCAGACCTAAGGGGGGCAGGTTGAGCATGAATTCACCCATAAACTGAGAATTGGGCTACAGAGAAGTAACCTGTGCAGGCAAAAAAATTTAGGTTCAGCAGGGAAACAAGGACAGTTTTTCTCTATATCCTTTGTTATATATAATCAGATAGAACATCTAGAAAATGGCTTTCAGAGGTGAAAAAACATAGTTTTTACTACACAAAACTACTGCATCAAGCACTGAGAACACAAGGAAGGCTTATCCTAGATTGCCCAGTCTATACTTGTGGTTTTATGCCTTTTACTCTCTCACTAGGCACTTAAAATTATCTGCAGTACATAATGTGCTCAAAGCAAGTACAGTATACCAAGTTCTTGGATCAAGACTAAAATATCAATTACAACAACAAGCACTAGATATCAATAGAACAGTCTTAGCATCAATACAAGGACAGTGAATATTACTTACTTTTCATCGGGTCTTAAGACACTGCAATATGAATCGGGGCGATTAACAAAGAAACCAGTCTTCTTCACAACATTTTCAGCTATCACATTCAGTCGATCCAGAACATTACAAAGTTTGCTGCAACAAATTGAAACATATAATGTTCATTCTTATAACTCAAAACACATTATATCTATGTTACTATCCAAGTGATTGCTTAATATAAACCGATGTATCTTTATATTGAATATATAAACTAACAAGCATATTATTATACAGGATTTATATAGAGCCAACAGTTTGCTCAGCGCTTTACAAAATAAATGGAGACAATACAGCAACAATGCAGTTCAATACAAGAGGGTTAGGAGGGCCATGCTCCTTGGAGTGTACAATCTAAGAGGGAGGGGCTGGTGGTACAAAAGTTAATAACTGTGGGGGATGAACTGATAGGAGGAATAGAAGATTAGGTTATTAGCTGACGGCAGGATAGGCTTCCCTGACGAGATAGGTTTTCAGAGATCGCCTAAAAGTGGGCAGAGTAGGCAATAGTCTGATAAATTGGGGTAGAGAGTTCCAGAGGATGGGGGAGGCTCTGAAGAAGTCCTGGTGATGAGCATTGGAGGAGACAAGGAAGCTAGAGAGCAGGAGGTCGTGGGAGGAGCAGAGAGGACAGTTTGGATGATATTTGGAGACAAGATTGGTGATATAATTTGGGGCAGAGTTACAAATGGTTTCATAAGTGATTAAAAGTGGTTTTATTAGCGATATTGGACAACTTAAAGTGAAAGTACACTGCATCTGAGCACCACAAACTAAAAATGCTATAGAATTCATTTTTAATATGCAAAGCATACTCCCCCACCCATCCATCTCTCCATGCTTTATCTTGCTGAGAAATCAGTTTGAAAAACAACCCCTAACACTTCTGGCCACGGTAAGGGCAGATGTTTTAAGTAGCATTGACTTCCTGGAATCTTTCTGCCGTTAGCTCAGGCATGCGGGGGGGGGGGTGCTTAGCTGAGAAAACCCCCTCCTCTCTGCTGAAGACTTCTGGGATGTATGTCATCATTTGCCTAGGTAAGGAAACCAGGACGTAACTGAATAAATGTTTAAGAAAAAATAAAACATTTGAAACAAGTAAATATAAAAAAATTTCCCATCTATTGACTAATACTAGCAGTATAAGGATTAAAAATAGTAAATGTTGACCGACAGTGAAGTTCAGCTTTAAACCCCTTTCACACGGGGCGGTCTCTATTTAAATCAGAAGGGCATTTGTTCACTGATCCCCTGCTGATCAGAGCAGTGGGCGGATGACACATTCATGTCTGCTCAGTTTATGCAGAGTGAACACGGACTGAGCCCACTCTGCTCTATGGACTAGCAGAATCTGCTGTCCATTTAAACCTGACTGCCTTAGATTCAGACTAATCAGACTGATAAGATCCGCCTAGATGGAGGGGGGCACATCCCCTTTTTGTTTTTGTTTTAGTGGACTGGATTGGAGGATTGTCTGTTTACACCCACCAGTCAATGCGGCTGAATGGAGGGTCCAATCAGGTCTGTCTGAAAAACTAACTTGTGAAAGGGGCCTAAGAACGATGAACATACAGTTAGGTCCATATATATATTTGGACAAAGGCACACTCTTCATACTTTTGGCTCTGTATGCCACCAGAATAAATTAAAACGAAATAATCCAAATGAAAATAAAGTGCAGACTTTCAGCTTTAATTCAAGGGGTTAAACATAAATATCAAGTACAAATTTTAGGAACTGCAACCGTTTTTATACACAGTCCCTCCATTTTCAGGGGCTCAAATGTAATTGGACAAATTAATATAATCATAAATAAAATGTTCATTGTTAATATTTTGTTGAGAATCCTTTACTGGCAATGACTGCCTGAAGTCTGGAACCCATGGACACTACCAAAAACTGGGTTTTCTCCTTTCTGATGCTTTGCCAGGCTCTAACTGCAGCTTTCTTCAGTTGTTCTTTGTTTGTGGGTCTTTCTGCCTTGAGTTTTGCCTTCAGCAACTGAAATGCATGCTCAATTGAGTTGAGATCAGGTGACTGACTCGGCCATTGCAGAATATTCCATTTATTTTCCTGCAAAAGCTCCTGGGTTGAGTTTGCAGTGTGTTTTGGATCATTGTTCATCTGTACTGTGAAGTGCAATCAAGTCCAGTCAACTTTGCTGCATTTGTTGAATCTGGGCTGAAAGTATCTCTGAACACTACAGAATTCATCCGGTTGCTTCTGTCTTCTGTCACATCATCAATAAACACCAATGACCCAGTACCACTGGAAGCCATGCATGCCCATGCCATCACACTGCCTCCACCATGTTTTACAGATTAATCTTAGTTTCATCCGTCCAAAGAATGCTTTTCCAGAACTGGTCTGGCTTTTTTAGATGTTTTTTGGCAAAGTCTAATCTGGCTTTTCTATTCTTCAGGCTTATGAATGGTTTGCACCTTAAGGTTAACCCTCTGTATTTGCTCTCATGAAGTCTTCTCTTGATTGTATACTTTGATAATGATACACCCACCACCTGGAGAGTGTCCTTCACTTGTCTGGATGTTGTGAATGGGTTTTTCTTTACCATAGAGAGGATCCTGATATTATCCACCACTGTTGTCTTCCGTGGATGTCCTTGCCTTTTTATGTTGCTGAGCTCACCAGTGCGTTCTTCTTTCCTCAGAATGTACCGAACTGTTGATTTGGCCACTCCCAATGTTGCTGCTCTCTGATGGATTTGTTTCCTTTTTGAAGCCTTACAATGGCCTGTTTCACTTGCAGGGATAGCTCCTTTGAATGCATCGTGTAAGTTCACAGCAATAGATTCCAAATGCAAATACCACACTTAGAATCAACTCCAGACCTTTTACCTGCTTAATTGATGAAGAATCAACGAAGGAGTAGCCCATACCTGGCCATGAAACAGCTTATGATTCAATTGTCCAATTACTTTTGGTCCCTTAAAAAAGGGGGGATGGATACTCTTAAGAGCTGTAATTCCTAAACCCTTCCTCCAATTTGGATGTACATACCGTCAAATTAAACCTGAGAGTGGGGGAAAGATCATATCAATTATAAAACTATAGCTTGAATATGTTTTGGTAAATACCTGAAAAAAACTAAAGTTGTGCCTGTGTCCAAATACAGTATATATGGACCAACTGTAAATGCTATGCTAAATAAGCACAATAATATATAAAAATACAAAAAACAGTTAATGTTCCAATCTAAATGGCAAGATTTGGTACAAACAATCACTAGATGTTAGTAGCCACATAAAATGATATGAAGGGAGGGCTGGAGGAACTAGGCCAGCACAGACAGTAAAACCACACTATAAGAAGTGAAGTGGGCTATGACTTACAAGGAGAGAAGGGGGTTTGCTTAGGAATTGACTCTTACTGGAGTAGTCAAGTTTTCTAGTAAGTTTAAAGGCACGTTGCTAGTTAATAAAAATAATTTTTGTAAAAGGAAAAAAATGCAAGTAAGCATTGAAAATACTGGAATTTTCTGTACTTTTTCCCTGCATTTTTTAAACTCATCGACAGGGTCTTTTTAAATAGATATTTTGTTTTTCAATGCAGCTTAACCATATAGACCATACCTTTTGGTATACTTAGCCATATCCCATGGAATGTAAACAATGCTTTGTTCAGGTGGAACAAACTGATTTAAATAAGTAACAGCTGCAACCAATTCATCACTAAGGATCCTTTCATGTTTCCTCTTTTCACGCTCCTATATTGCATAAAGTAATATAAAATATATTAATATAAATAAATAACCTTTGAAATTTAGTTAATTTGAGGTTTTTAATCCAGAGAGTTAATTCAAAAGCTACAAGCTACATAATTGGTCAAACATTTGATTACAATTTCATTGTCAATTTTAGCTTCATTTTTGTTTTGCCTTTAGCTGGAAAGCCATTTAGTTAAAAAACATTTATTAAAACATAAACAAAACAGAGATACTGATCATCGGTGCATCCTCAGTGCAGACACAACAGATCGTACCTATCTCTGATAGGTACATGAATCAGACACAAGCACTGACACTTTTCTATGACACCCTTTATGAATTCCCCTATTTAAATCCACACTTGGGGTGAAGATGGCACAAAATGTCACAGATATCTTGCTACCCGAATTAGCAAAGCTCCAACAAGAATTCCCAAAATAAAGATAGTGAACTAGTCCAAGTAGTTCCTGATTATGTGATCACTGATACACAGCCAATCATGCTGATCACATGAGGTTTGTTTACAAAACTTGCTGTATACAGCTGTCACTGTGCCTCAGACTATGGATTACAAGGTTTATTTTAAAGAATTAGAAAAAAAAACAAGCATGTTAAGAAACAAAACTTTATTTTCTAAACATTGTCTATTTGTCAGTTTAAAATAACGATGATCACGTTTTTTTTATTAAAACAGTTTACCATATAAACACTTTGTATGTCCCTTAAAAACAAAGTAAACATTATTAGCTATGCAAATTAATGAAAGAGTTAAACCAGCCATACATGAATTGAAACTCAGATTGTTCAGCAGGGACTGGCTGAATTTCAATCCATGCATGGGTATCCATTTGATCTACAAAATGACTTCTGTGCAACCACCCTGTCAGATTTTGACTGCTTGATCAGCGCTGCCAACTATAATCGGCAAAACTTACATAGTTAATATGCCTGAAAAAAAGACACAAGTCAATCAAGTTCAACCAAAAAAAGAAAAAAAAAAGTTATAATCCTACACCCACACAGTTGATCCAGAGGAAGGCAAAAAACTCAGCAAAGCATGATCCAATTTGCTCCTGCAGGGGAAAAATTCTTACCTGATCCCCGAGAGGCAATCGGATATTCCCTGGATCAACTTTACCTATAAAATGTTAGTAACCAGTTATATTCTGTGTATCCAAAAAAGAATCCAGGCCTTTTTTAAAGCAATCCACTGAGCTGGCCAGAACCAACTCTTGAGGAAGTCTATTCCACATTTTCACAGCTCTTACTGTGAAGAAACCTTCCATTATTTGGAGATGAAATTAATTTTCCTCCAGACGTAAAGAGTGCCCCCTTGTCCTCTGTGGTGACCTCAGGGTGAATAACTCTACACCGAGTTCACTATATGGACCACTGATGTATGTATACAGGTTGATCATATCCCCCCCTTAATCTCCTCTTCTCAAGAGAGAATAAATTCATTTCCTCTAATCTTTCCTCATAGCTGAGCTCCTCCATGCCTCTTTTGAGTTTGGTTGCCCTTCTCTGTACTTTCTCCAGTTCCCCAATGTTCTTTTTGTGAATTGGTGACTAAAATTGAACTGCATATTCCAGATGAGGTCTTACTAATGACTTGTACAAGGGTAATATGATATCTCTCTCTGGAGTCTATACCTCTTTTAATACAAGAGAGGATTTTGCTCGCTTTAGAAACCGCAGCTTGGCATTGCATGCCATTATTAAGCTTGTGATCTACCAGAACTCCCAGATCCTCCTCCACCATTGATTCCCCCCCTTGTACTCCCCCTAGTATGTATGATGTATGCATATTCTTAACCCCAAGTGCAGAACCTTATATTTATCAACATTAAACCTCATATGCCACATAGTTGCCCAATTAAACAGTGCGTTGAGGTCGGCCTGTAAGTTGGAGACATACTTTAAGGACGTTATTCCACTGCACAGCTTGGTGTCATATGGAAAGAATGAAATTGTATATATAATCCCAGACCCTATATTATTTATAAATATATTAAAAATTAAAGGTCCCAACACTGAACCTTGGGGTACACAACTGACAACCCTAGACCATTCAGAGTATGAATCATTAACCACTACTTTCTGAATACGATTTTTTAGCCAGTTTTCTATTAATTTACATACAGATTGTTCCAAGCCTGTAGACGTTACCTTACACATTAGCCATGTGTAGGGAACTGTGTCAAACACTTTTGCAAAATCCAAGTACACCACGTCCACTGCCACCCCTCTGTCCAAGGTTTTGCTCACCTCCTCATAAAAAGAAATCAAACTTGTTTGACAACTTCTGTCTTTCATGAATTCATGCTGTCTGTTGCTTAAAATATTCTTTTCCAGCAAGAACTCATCTACGTGGTCTTTTATTAAACTCTCCAGTATCTTCCCAATTATAGAAGTTAAACTAACAGGTCTATAATTACTTGGTAAAGATTTTGACCCCTTTTTAAATACTGGCACCACATTGGCCTTACACCAATCCAGTGGTACTATGCCAGTCATTAAAAAGAGTCCCTAAAAATTAGCAACAATGGATTTGAAATGACAGAGCTCAATTCTTTAAGGACCCGTAGGTGTATGCCATCTGGTCCAGGTGCTTTATTCACCTTTATTCTGTCTCAATATTTCTAGGTCATATCAATTGTGAGCCAATGTGGATCACGTGGAACTGTGTCAATGCCATGCCCATTATGGACAAGAGCTCCCCCATGCTCCTTTGTATACACAGAGCTGAAGAAGGTATTTAATAAATTTGCGTTCTCTTTGTCCCCAGTCACCCACTCTAGATTCATTCACAGGGTGGGGTTGGGGGGAACACCTGTAAGTGAAAGTGAAACCACAACAGGGAAAGATCAGTTCCCCTCACCTGGTAGACAGGATTGAGCTGTGGGCAGAGCTTTTAAAATCTCAGGGATGGATGGACTAAAGTACAAATCCTTTCATGGGTAAAACAGCTGCTATATATTTATCTATGTATTTAGATGCTTGGCTGGAGTTCAACTTTAAATTATACTATCATATAAAGTCTGCAAGTTAGTCTATTTTATTAGATTTTAAAAGTATTATTAAAATAACATAAATGTACCAGATGCCATCAGGCATGGGAATAATAAGGTTCATTATTTTGCTTTGTTTTTCAATGAATTTAAATGCTTTCATTAGGAAAATTTTGGAATCAACACACAAATCATTAGTGTTTCTCTAGGTTTTCTTCTGGCAGCTTGGAAGACTAATGCTAAAAAATTAACTCATTGCTAGCAATTTAAAGAAACTCATTTACCCGAGATAATCCACACATAGACAGTTTCCATGACAATGCATAGAGTCTTAGTGGAAGAATAATACTATAAATTTGAGGAGCTGCATTATCATAAATGGCTAGGTAACCTATTTGAATTTGTATAATTGTATTTTCATAACAGTTTTATCACATTTTTTTGTGTTTTATGTAAAATAAAAAGAAATATTCTAGTGACTGAATGAAATGATATGCATATTAGATATTGAGTTATGCCAATGTAAAATAGGTACAGTCTGTTAACAGCGTTAACACAGCAGCTTTTGTTTTTCTTCTAACCCCCCTCTGTAACATAGTTTATTACCTGTTGATCCTGCCAGTAAGGGCTGGGTTACACCAGAATCGCACAGGAACACGGTACGCATTCCTGTGCAAATCCTCTGTGTTCCCATGCAGTGCGTTTTTCAGCCTATTCATTATAATGAGCTTAAATCGCACAAAAAATAGCTCATGCACTACTGTTGTTAAATGTCTCAGCACCAAATCACATGGCACTGCAGCACCATGTGATCTGGTGCCTGCAAATGCAGATCTTCGTTTTGGGTGGCCTTAACTATGTACTGGTACCCGCAGCAAATCGAAAAGGCGATGCATTTTGAACATGGTGCGGTAGGGCGCACAGAATGTGCCTTTCCCGCAACGCGTCCTGATGTGAACCGGCCCTTAGTCCAATATTTTTCCACTTCCGTTAACAAGTCAGGTTGTCCAGCAAAAGTTTCAGTTACAGGGGTGGGATGGGAAAACCATGTAACACTGACATGGATGCGCACAATGGTCAGCTTTTATTCATACGACTCAAACTTTTTTTCCAAAAGTTAAAAAAAAAACCTGCTGTCACAAAGTGTTAGCTAGAACTAAGTGAGGCTCGTAAACCCATGATAAGAGGCACTTGTATTAGTGTAGCCACCTAACTCAAACAGTATATAATCACGCTCGACTACAGCAACTTGAAAAAGAGTGAATTTCAAAATAACCCCTCTGCAGCCAATAAATTGCGGATTGAGAAAACTAGGACGGAATCAGGCTTTTTATTAGCCAAGAAAAGTAATTTTATTACTCGCGTCATATGTTTTATACATATACAAAAGCATGTATGTCAACTCTTTAATAAAAAATTTCAACAACAAAAGAGTTAGATAGAATCAGGATTTAAATGGTTTATCCCTCATTTAAAGAAACACAGTCGTTTTCCTTTAAACATGACTAAGGAGAAACCAGCGAGTCATCCTAGGAGAAACCACAGGTTGTGGCAGGGGTAGCAGGTATTCAACCCATTCAAGACATCAAATACCTGCAATGGGTGGAAACAAAACAATAGCATTTTTAATACATGGGCCACTGGAAAGATTTGTATATTGCCTCTTTTACAGGGTTGTTTAATTTGTGCAAGTGGTGACAAGGTCACTTTAAAGTCCACTTAAAACTACATGTCAACCTTAGACTACCCAGTCCCACAGGGTAACAATGTTGCTGAGCAAATGAACTGCAAAACAAATAGAGTGGTCACCCGGTTTTAGGATGTGAAAAAATAATAAATCTACTGTCAGGAACAATGGCTAATAAAACTGTTATAGTTGTGTGTTAATACTAGTGACAGACTGCATCATATCTGCAATTTCTTATCCTACCCATATTTGCATGTTGCAAGTGTAATTCTACTTTTGTTGCAAAAAAAAAAAATCCCCTCTGAGCGATGTATGTCAATTAAAAGGATTTAAACAAATTTTGCATCAGAGTCCTAGCTTTTTCTGCTCTGGAGAAATAGCGGTTTGTTTGACCATGTCCTTTGCAAGTGGAATTTGAATGGGGGGTCTGGTTCATTATAATTGCCTGGTGCACTCTCAGTGTTCTGATGACAAAAGCTTCAGTGTCTGCATTAATGGGGTGCCTTTAATCACCTCCCGCCCGCCATATAGTAATATGACGGGCGCAAGGTGGTTCTCTCATTCTGATAGGACGTCATATGACATCCTCCCATTCTCACTGCGCATGCGCGGCTCAGGGAGCGTACAGCGCGGCGATCGACGGTGCGCTGTGTCCCTTGGACACAGCAGATCACCGATCACGGAAAGAGCCGAAGATGTCGCCTCGGTCATGTGATCAGCTGTGTCCAATCACAGCTGATCACATGTAAACAGGGAAATGCCGGTTATCGGCATTTCTCTCCTCTTGAGCTGTCACGCTGACAGCTTGAGAGGAGAGGAGAGCCGGTAATCGGCTTTCCCGCCGAGGGGACATGTACACTGATCATCAGGGCCCTGATGATCAGTGGAGACCCAGCAGTGCCACCTGTCAAGTGTCCATCAGTGACAGCTGTCAGTGCCTCGTGCCAGTGCCCATCAGTGCCACATCAATGCCACATATCAGTGCACACCAGTGCACATCAATGCCACATATCAGTGCCCATCTGAGCTGCCTTTCAGTGCCACCCATCAGTGCCAGTCAGTGCCACCTATCAATGCCAATCAGTGCCACCTATCAGTGCCAGACAGTGCTGCCTATCATTGCCAGTCAGTGCTGCCTATCAGTGCTCATCAGTGCTGCCTAACAGTGCCTGCCAGTGCCACCTAACAGCGCCAGTCAGTGCCACCTAACAGTGCCAGTCAGTGCCGCCTATTAGTGCCAGTCTGTGCCGCCTATCAGTGCTGCCTATCAGTGCCATATATGAGTGCTGCCTTTCAGTGCCTATCAGTGATGCCTGTCAATGCCCATCAGTGCCACCTACGAGTGCCTCCTCATCAGTGCCACCTATCAGTGTCCATCAGTGCAGCCCATCAGTGTCCATCAGTGCAGCCCATCAAGTGTCCATCAGTGCAGCCCATCAGTGCCCATCAGTGCAGCCCATCAGTGCCCATCAGTGCAGCCCATCAGTGCCCATCAGTGCAGCCTCATTAGCGCACATCAGTAAAGGAGAAAAATCACTTATTTACAAAATTTTATAACAAAAACTAAAAAAAAAAAAACAGTGGTTTTTGGTTTGTTTAAGAAAAAATAAAAAACCCAGGGTGATTAAATACCACCAAAAGAAAGCTCTATCTGTCACAAAAAAATTATAAAAATTTCATATGGGTACAGTGTTGTTTGACCGCGCAATTGTCATTCAAAGTGCGACAGTGCTGAAAGCTGGAAATTGGCCTGGGCAGGAAGGGGGTATAAGTGCCCTGTAGGCTAGTGGTTAAAGGCAAAGGAAGTGTGTTTATGTGGGGTGCGAGAAACACGCCTCTTCTTCACCGCGATCTGTGTGAACCGGCTTAGTCCACTTGCCAACTTGCATTTTAGGGCTTTTTGTCAACAAAAAGTTGCCCTTACAAGCTGACCTAGGGGGATTGTACTAGGGGACACAATGACCCCAGTACAATCCCAGCAATATTAGATTTTTTTTTTTCTTTGCTCCCAATGTGACATTCATGTGGGTGTGGGTGCACAGCCCCAAATGTAGACAGTTCAGTGAGTTCAGGGACATGCACGCACACGGATGTCAATTTGAGAGCAGTGGCTGTGTTAGTTCAACTGCTGCTACACCATTGACACCAATGGGACTGCCTGCACAGGGATGCGCAGAACATCTCTGCATCCCCATGTGGGTAAACATGGTATTACATGGGTGCATGCTGTAGTATGCCCCATGTGAATGAGAACTTACTATGTTTCTTTGTTTTTTTCTACAATGTTATTTTTTGTTATTTTTTACTTTTTTGAGGGGGGGGGGGATTTGGTGAAATATCCGAGGTATAAATGTACCCCTGATGTCTCTTTTTTGAAACAGAGAAAGGGACTGATTTTTTTTCTCTGCAGGCTCAGCTGCATTTTAGATGAATGAAAAGAAGCCTCGGTACAGGGGCTTCCTAATTCATTCACATAATGAAGATTAGTAAACAGAGTTTACTATGCTTTAATGATGAATAAACACAGGAGCAATCAGTACCAATCGCTCACTATGATCATTCAGGAAGGAGCTGGTGAACATGGCATGATTACCAGCTCACCGCCCCCAGCTCTTCATCCTGACACCAATCCTTTACCCCCATAGCAGCTTCAGCCAGTGGGAGGGGAAGAAGGGGAAGCTGGCCAGCAGTAGGGGAGGGAGGGTTGCCGGGGGACCAGTGGGAGGGGCAGTACAGGGGGGGGGGGGTCAGAGCAATGGGGGGGAATCTATTTTCAGAGTTAAATCTCCCTGTAGCTCCCCTGCAGCACCCAAACATGGCAGGAGAGAGGAAGAGAAGCCAGCAGCTACAGGTGAGCCACAGGAGATCAGTGCTACAAAGGGGGGGGGGGGGAGAGTATCTGTGTTGGGGAGGAAATCGGCAGCGCTGCAAGGGATCAATGTTGCGGAGGCACATACAAGTGGGGGGGGGGGCATTTTACAGGACAGGTGCAGCAGCAGCAGCTCTTTCATGTGTTCACTGTATGTAAGAGCACAGAGGGCTAATACAGTGAGGAACAGAAGTATTTGAACACCCTGTGATTTTGCAAGTTCTCCCACTTAGAAATCATGGAGGGATCTGAAATTCACGTTGTAGGTGCATTCCCACTCACAGACAGAATTTAAAAAAAAATTCAGGAAATTGTATGATTTTTTACAGAATTTATTTGTCTTGCACTGCTGAACATAAGTATTTTAACACCTAAGAAACAGCAATAATTCTGGCTCTCAAAGACCTGTTACTGTGCCTTTAAAAAGTCCACCTCTACTCCACTCATTAATCTAACTTAGTAGCACCTGTCTGAGCTCTTTAAAGACACCTGTCCACCACACAGTCAGTCAGACGCCAACTACTACCATGGGCAAGACCAAAGAGCTGTCAAAAGACACCAGAGACAAAATTGTGGACCTCCAAATGGCTGGAAAGGGCTACGGGGCAATTGCCAAGCAGCTTGGTGAAAATAGATCAACTGTTGGAGCAATTGTTAGAAAATGGAAGAGGCTAAAGACGACTGTCAGTCTCCCTCGGACTGGGGCTCCATGCAAGATCTCACCTCGTGGGGTATCACTGATGATAAGAAAGGTGAGGAATCAGCCCAGAACTACAAGGGAGGAGCTGGTCAATGACATGAAGAGAGTTAGGACCACAGTTTCAAGAGTCACTGTCGGGTAGAACACTACGCCGTCATGGTTTCAAATCATGCATTGCACGGAAGGTTCCCCTGCTCCAGTCATCACATGTCCAGGCCCGTCTGAAGTTTGCCATTGACCATCTGGATGATCCAGAGGAGGCATGGGAGAAAGTCATGTAGTCAGATGAGACCAAAGTAGAACTTTTTGATCTAAACTTCACTCGTCGTGTTTGGAGGAAAAAGAAGGATGAGCTGCATCCCAAAAAACACCATCCCTACTGTGAAGCATGGGGGTGGTAACATCATGCTTTGGGGGTGCTTTTCTGCGAAGGGGACAGGACGACTGCACTGTATTAAGGAGAGGATGAATGGGGCCATTTATTGTGAGATTTTGAGCAACAACCTCCTTCCCTCAGTCAGAGCATTGAAGATGGGTCGTGACTGGGTCTTCCAACATGACAACGACCCAAAGCACACAGCCAGGATAACCAAGGAGTGGCTCCGTAAGAAGCATATCAAGGTTCTGGAGTGGCCTAGCCAGTCTCCAGACCTAAATCCAATAGAACATCTTTGGAGGGAGCTGAAACTCCCGTGTTGCTCAGCGACAGCCCCGAAACCTGACAGATCTGGAGGAGATCTGTGTGGAGGAGTGGGCCAAAATCCCTGTTGCAGTGTGTGCAAACCTGGTCAAGAACTACAGGAAACGTTTGACTTCTGTAATTGCAAACAAAGGCTTCTGTACCAAATATTAGCACTGATTTTCTCAGGTGTTCAAATACTTATGTTCAGCAGTGCAAGACAAATAAATTCTTTAAAAATCCTACAATGTGATTTCCTGAATTTGTTTTTTAAATTCTGTCTCTCAGAGTGGGAATGCACCTACAATGTGAATTTCAGACCCCTCCATGATTTCTAACTTGCAAAATCGCAGGGTGTTCAAATATTTATGTTCCTCACTGTAACAAGTAGTAAAAGTGTGAGTTTCGGTGTGTTTTTAAACCGGATCCAGAATGCATTCAGAAGTGTTTGGCATGTAGTCCAGTGGCCCTAGTTTACACCCAGTGCAATCAGTTCCAGTGCGTACAACAAAAGTACAACCTGCTGCATTTTTTTTCCCAGAACGCATCAAAACACATGTAAACACACCGGAATGCACTGGAAAGCACATTGTCCTGAATAAAAATGAACATTTTTCAAGTGTCAGAAATAAAAAAGGAAAAACTAAAATAAAAGAGAAAAAACTGCAGTAGAATGCACTGAAAATGCATTAAAAAAGGTGTGCAAATGTGTAAGCAAAAATGCATCCGGAATGCAGAAATTGTGGTCCGAACAAGCCCTCAGAACAGGCAAGGCTGGGAATATTTTTCGAACAATCACAAAAAAAGTGTTTCATCAGGCAGTTTGTGCAGAAGGGGAGTGCAGACAGTGTAGCCAATGTGCAGACTTTTTTTTATAAATCATGTGGGGAGAGCAACAAAAAGAGTAAGAAAAGAGGAGAGAATAGAAACATTTTTATCACTGGGTAATAAAATCATATTTTTAGGCTACGTTCACACTAGCATTGTGTGCAGGCGGCAGAGAGGCGTTTGGGAAGCATTTTTTTCCCAAACGCCTCTGACAATTCTGCACATTACAGCACATGGTGCTGTTCTAATGGGAGCGTTTGCGTCGCGGCAAAACAGACGCCTCTGGTGAGTCAGGAGGCGTTGAAGCCTCCTATTCGCGTCTATGGAAGGAAGGAAAGAAAAGAAAGAAAGAGAAAGAAAGAAAGAAAGAGAAAAGAAAGAAAAGAAAGAAAGAAAGAAAGAAAAAGAAAGAAAGAAAGAAAGAAAGAAAGAAAGAAAGAAAGAAAGAAAGAAAAGAAAGAAAAGAAAGAAAGAAAGAAAGAAAGAAAGAAAAGAAAGAAAAAGAAAGAATTATCCTATAACGAAGCGTGACTTTGAGTTTCAGACACAGCATGAATCAAATTTCCAGCACTTGTTTGTAAACACCATTGACCTCTCATGTCCAGATTTAAAACAGTATAATTTAAAACATTAATTAGAAATTGCAGAACATAACCTATATATAAAGTTTGCTTCTAATAGGGAGTCATGAATTTCAATTCGTATTTAAATGCATTAATCCTGGATTCCCAGTGAGACCAGTTTATGAAAAGGCACATTTTCATCCACACTACAATTGCCAAGTAAAAAAAAAAAAAAATAAACCACTTAACAAGTCACATGTCAGAGCCTGGTGAGCAGGAGCCTTGCAGTTTGCCTTTGACAACCAAGTCTATAAATAAATGAGTTAAGTATCTTTTATTCCCCAACTATTTTAAAGTATTGATTCTTGTTTACAGAATTATTGTACTTTAATAGTCATATAAATGCAATTATTTTATCACAGTACAACTTTCTTCTCAGAAGGACAAAAAATAGGCAT